CCTCCCCCCAAGTGCGCACGTACTTTGAGAACGACCCCTTATCTATTGAGTCGAATAACGACTTATAATTTCTTTTCTTTAACAAACTCTAAGAAGATTTGGAGACAAAATGAGATCTGTTTTCAAATAAGACTTTCGGATAACTAGTACTGTATATACAGTATAAACAGTGCATACATTGCATACATACCAACGGATCAATTCGTTCACATTGTATGACAAATGTTGTGAACGTTTTCTTCAATTTTAATGAATAATGAGATGAAGTGAAACAAAATTGAATTTTGAAATTTCGCTGAATAAATATCACTCGTGAAGAGAATTGTGAATAAATTGAAATGAATGTAAGACTTATTATACTTAATCAATCATTTTATGCTATTATAAACAGTAGACACACTTATGCTATGGATTAGATGTAATTCAATGATAACCAAAAATGTATTTGTTATGACATTTAAACAACAAATTCTACAATTGATACACAACTCGACGTCTAACCCAAACTTATTGAACCACTTTATGGCAAATGGTTTACTGTTTTAGTGACAAAAAATGAATTCTTTTCAAAAATAATTGTATTATTGATATAAATGATTGCCATATATATTAAATTTGTTTTCCCAAATGACTTTTCTACCATCAACGATCAACATTTTTATAAAGTTATTAAATATTTTTCCATTTCATATAAAAATAATAAAAACATTATAATAAGCAATATTTTGAATACCTATTTACTATATATTTGGAAAATATAAAGTTTTTAATAATATTTTAAAATTAAATATTTGTTTATTTTATGCGAGAAATTCATTTTCAATGATTAGTTCGTGCGATGAAATAATCTGTCGCTATAAATATCAAGCAAAATATACAAGTCTTTTACATTTTAGCATAAAATTCAAAAATATTCTTTATGTCAAAACAAGGATAAGAACATTATTTCAAATCATTTACATTTAAATACATGGACTCAAGAATTAATTGGCAAAATTGTTAATTCAAATCGTGTACTAAAAAGTTAATCACTCGACAAGATATGCATAAATCAAGTGATTTAACGCAAACTGAAGCAAACAAAACCAGAAACAAAGGCCGGTAATTAGTGACTCAATTAATTAGCATTAGGCGTGAAATATAGTAGTCTCTAAAAATAAAAGGTAAATATTTATCTTTCAAAAGTATAGTAATTTGCAGACAATAATCGGTTTTAATTTAATTTAGAGACCGATTCTGATCTGTATATCGAAAGCCTTATTCCTAATGACAGTCATTGGAAACGCCGTACGAATTGAAGCGCTGAGGAAAAGCATGATTTGAGGCGACATCAGTGACAGCGTCTCTAATATCAGGCAATAGTATTGTAATGAGAAAACTGAAAGAGTTTTCCAATAGCAGAGACTCATATGAGACATACATTTATCACTTAATTAGTATTTCATGTCATCATAAAATCAATTGAAAGCATTTTATTGGATATATTTGTTGTCTCTTATTTTTACTGCACATTTACGGCAAAGTTTTTATAGTTATATTTCGTATAACTCTTTCCTACCGACAAATTCATTAAAAACTTTGCCAAAACATAACAAATTGATTGACAAAGTTTTAGTGACCAAAACATACATGTTTTCAGTCAATCGGCTAATCAATGATAACGTGATGCAGAAAATAGGTTTTTTACGGAGACCTTGTAATTATCGAGTATTATGTATGACTCATGTAATAGATTTATAATACACTCTATTAACTCGTATTCAAATACATTATGCCTAAAATGGATAAAGAATTGCATTTATGTTAAGCATTAAATATGATATTAAATACCAGATATAACTATCAATAGTCTGTTTGATTGAGTATTGCCTAAAATGTTGAGGACTATTCACATACTTTTTAGACATATCAATATAGCCTTAAAATATTTGATATATACCTTTAGATGTTGTCTACATTTTTACAAAAGCTCTAATTAAGCCGACAATAAATTGAGTTACTTTGACGTGTTATACAGTTATAAGTTATTGATATAATAAGCTTTCAATTTCTACGAAATGGTTTCATTTCAACTTACGTTTGGCTTATATTATAAAGAATTTTTCATTCATTATTTAGAAAGCATTTGATTGAAGGAATTGGTTGAGAGAAAAGAGAGAGAATTCAACAAATAGTGGAAACAATACGTAAAACAAGACTCACTTTATCGGAAGCGGAGCGAAGACACGGCGCCCGACATATATTCCACATAAGAGATAGTTTGTAATTAAACTCCAAATGAAGTGTTCATTCAATTGAGTCTATGTATGCCTTAATTAAGAGCAAACACTCTGTAAAATCAAACTAATCATAAAATTTATGACACTTTTAGGGAAAAGGATTTTTGCAGCGATAGTTGAAGAGTTGCGGCACTCCTTATAGCTTAGACCAGTGCTAACACTCTTCTGCATTGCAGACTATTTGTGGATCTCGTATGAGTCGTCACAACACATAATACCGGTGCGAATAGACTGCGGCAGAGAAGTGGTATTGTATTGGCTGACGAGAAATATCGATTAGGTTTTGGCAAATCCTAGCCATAAATACAACGTTTTCCTCTTTCCATTCGCATAGAAAAAGTAACGCTATTTAATTTGTTCACTACTTTTTCAATAAATGTACTTTTTTCGTATTATTTGACCAACTTTTTCCCCAATTCTTTGTGAATACAATTTCATAAAAACAATTAGACATTTATTTGCGAAGCACTCGCTCTTATCGATAGACATTTGCCATTCAAATAAAGATAAAACATTTTTGTTATTATTGTTTTGCCAAAAAAGTATTGACCGAAAAAGTTTATCGTAAAAGAATAGCCAAAAGTTTTTTTTGTTTTATTTTGCTCTTTATTGCTATTGAAGTTAAGCGAAAAGTTATTACTTTATTAAGCAATTTATTTAATTTGAAATTTCAATTAAATTCATTTTTATTAGAGTTCTAGTAATAAATGTCACAATTAAATAATGCAATTATTTATTAAAAATGTAAATTTCATTCTGAAATGAAACAAAATTTTAATTCTTTAAATTTGTGCTAAATTGAAGACACCTTATGGTTCTCAATGAGTCTCATCTAAACTCATATAAAAACACTTTATTGGAAGTAAAAAGAAATAAATATTGTTATAAATTATTTAGAGAAGAATAGCATGTATTTTAATACTAATACGAATCAACTCTTTTGGATTGAATTAAGTGAATATATTGGGCACAGAGAGGGAGGGGTTGAATATTACCATCAATTCAGCAAATCGTCTATGTCTTTGCCGCAGACATCAGACATCACTTCACAATTTCAGACAAGAGTTAAGGCCATGAAAATGAAGACAATGTTAAATAATTAGAAAAGTTGTCGGTGCTATTAATAAATATCCAATATTTATACACTATATGTCCAGCACTACAATGCATACCATTGGCTCACATAAGGCTTCAATTGTTTCAAGAATTGGTTTTGTTATACATATTGACTGCTTTTCCATCAAATGAAGAGTTAATAAAATATTTATATACGAAACCTATTTAACACATTCAGAGACACATTAATAATGTGCTGACATTTCAAATGTAAATATTCAAATATAAATACGGCATTCAATGTATACCTCTCATTCATTCAATTGGTTATACAAATCATGTAAACATTTTCAATAACAAATTGACATATTTTTTATTAATTTTATTTTCAGATTAATGAGAATTTAAATAAAACTCATATAAAGAGCGAAATATATTTATTATACATAAAATTGTTATAACTCTGCTTTATATACATTTAAACTATAGTATAGTTACTATTCATATATTTATATTATTTTGTGGTTAATAACAGAGAGAATTATATAATGCATAACGATTTGGAAAATTTCAAACCAATTTCAATGGCGAGTATAAATAGTGGACAAAACACAACATAACATAACATTTAAAACTAGAATCAAAACAGTATTTACTGTGAAATACAATTGCAGTTATAATCAAGTGTTATAAATGTATTTATTTAATGAAATGTTTATGTAATGCAATGTAATGTATAATAAGTTTTAATTACATAAAATGTCAATTTAATTATAATATACTTTTCTAAATAACCTTTGGTTCAAAATAAAAGAAACAAAACTAAAAGCAAAACTACTTATATTAATAATTAATAGATTTATTTCAATTCAATGCCATTTTTAGAATTATTTTATTGAAGTTTAATTAAAATAAACTTCAAAAACACTGAATAAACGAATAAATAAATAAATAATAATAGAAAATAATAAAATGAAATGTAAAACAAAGTGAATGTATGGAGAATGTGATGAATAGGCAAAGAGTTGCAAATAACGAGTTTTAAGTCACATTTAAGTCAATCATATTTGCGTTTTGAGTGTGCGATTCATTGACCACATTGTCAGTGCTCTCCTCTGAGGGCATCTTCATGTGCACCGGGTTTTCCACTTTCACTGAACACTCGATGGGCTCTTCATTCTGTTGGTCACTGTTGTTGTCCACCTCTTTGTTCGCTTCATTCAGCGCTAAATCGACCACAAGTTTCACTTTCTTCTTGGATGGCGACAGAGACTCGTCGGTCTGTGAGGACCCGAATATCTTTCGTTTCACTTTTTCAATCTTCTCCTTATCTTTGGTCTCTTTATTGTTGTCCTTAAGTCTCTCCTTCTCTGCCGAGTCATACATCTTATAACTCCGTTTTGAGTCCTTCTTTGACTCTCCATTCCTGTAGTATTGCTTAAGCCTTACGTGCCATGCGATCGACGAAACCGCTGTTCAATACAACAAATCAATCAATTATTTAATTTAATTATCTTTTAATACAACAAAAAAGTCATAAAATACCAAATTTAGAAAATATTCATTTATTATAGCTTTTAAAAAACATTTGTCTCTTTAGGCAGTGCTTCACAAAACTTAATAAATATTTAATTGTTTACAAAAATAATATAAGACACGAGATAATTAGCCAAACTTAATATAAAACTCATTGCTGTAAAGTTAGTTAAAAACATTACTGACAGTTATGTAGAGAAAGCAATGGATATGTCATAGAAATGAATGCAATCATCAAAAAGAATAACAACTCACGAGTTATTAACACTCAAGAGATTAATAAATAAAGTAAATGTGAATTTATTCATAAAATGCATTAAATATTAATTGAATGGTGAAAATTAAGTCTCCAAATGCCTAATGTTCTCTAATAATGCGGTAATGACTGCAATGATATTCATAACAAAACCGGTAAATACTCTTTCAATAAACAGCTTATGATTAAAAACAAAACTAATTAAATAAATAATAAAAACGAAGACAGCGTTGAAAGGGTTAGCGAATGGATTGAAATGATTGGATGGCATACCGGAAACGGTGCGGAACTGATGTATGATATTTCGTGGCAAAAAGTAAATGTCGTTATCGTGGAGTTGAATGCGAGCAAAGCGGACGCCCTCTCGTCTCAATTGGTTGAGCTTTGCGTCTTCAACCCAAGTGATACACTGAGACACTGGCGGCTCGTGAAGGTCTAACTGCAACTTCTGTGTCAACTGCTCGAAGTCGGCCGCGTGAAAGGCCACCACATCTTTGGTCACACGATTGTATCGCCAATTATCGTCACAATTCACGGCCTTTAGTACTCCCACAGCGGCCGTCGTCTGCCGGTCGAAGCCCTGTCCGACGTGGTCAGCGTGACACCGGGTTCTGGAGATGACATTATCATTAAATATATCCATTTATATAATGACAGCAAAATGCAAGACATATACCTGTCTTCAAACATCATCTCTCGGGGTTCACTGATTCTCCTGAGTTGCAGACCTCTGAGTTCGCTTTGTTGTCTTTTATTACCACTTTTGGGTGTCTTTGAGCCCAATTCGGCGGTAGGTATGAGTTGTTCTCCGGGTCTGATCCATAGGATGGGTCCGTCGTTGGATTCCTGAGGTTCAGCCATACGGACGGCCGACATCTGCCCCCAAGGCATGACATACTTGAGGAATGGGGACTCTTCTAACAGTGATATCATTTTAGGGAAATATCCGCCAACTTCTTCGTGAACCGTTCCAACCAATGATATTTGATGCAGAGGTCCGTACCTGAAGGTACCGTTACTATAGTTCTTGTGCACCTATTTATTCACATAATGTTACATATAATTAGAAATTAATATTTTTAATAATTATAAAATTAATTAAAGTCTAAAAAATTAATATAAACATCAATTGAATGCTTTTTTGTGCTCACATTTTATCGAAAACAGTAGACAAACAAAAAACTCATTAAACAAAATGAGATATAAATTATTTTATAAAAATAAAACTAATTATTATTTCATAGACACTACAGTAGGAGTGGTTTTAAATAAATAATAAAACGTTTATAACTGCTATAAATAAAGGCGATTGTGTTATGCATTCAAATATTAACATTAAATGTAAAAATAATCTCCAATTGAAGCAAACATTTGAAAACAGGTTCACGACTGACAGTGAGATGAGACGGAAAGCAATACAATTAAATGGATCGATGGCTTCAATGAATAAACACTATTAGAGATATGATATAAATGTTATGTAAAGAAACACTTAAACCAACTCTACTGTAGAGTTAAAGGAGAGCTTTGTTACTAAAGTCATAAATAGTAAGCTTTAGATTAAGATTAAAATCACTTAAAAACAAATACTCGAGAATTAAGGCAAAGAATGCTATGTTTTTGTAACACATTTTCAAGAATTAAAAAACAACTCAAAGAATTTTCGTAAAAAATAATGACAAAATTTACTGTCAGATATAAGTTCTTAAAAATCAAAACATTTAATAGATTTGCTGTAATAAATGACTCGTTTATAATGGAAAACATGTTTACAATTCAATAGAAGTACAATAAATACCGTATAATTCTTACATAAAAATCGGTGTTTCCATTATTCCGATAAAAAACACAATCAAATAAAATACTAAACTATATTTATATGAAATATTATTCAAATATAAATTCAATGTTAAACTAATGGTTACATAAAAGTCGGGCACAAAAGTCTCAAGAATTTGTTGTAATCACGAATTTAGAGAAATATTTGTCGATAAGAGTGAAATCGAAACCGCAATGAAAACAGCGTTTCGTTTGTTATGTAATACTCAACATAAGTGGATATAAAAGCACTTTTGATAAAAGCTATAAAAAGTAATACAATATACATGAGAGAGAAACACATTCTTTATTAAAATTTAATTAAAATTTTCACTTTTGGCAGAAATATAGCCTTTGAGGTAAAATATGGGCTATTGTTTGGACCATTCATTGCCTAGTCTTTGCCTATTATTCACAACAACACGACTTCTGACTTGGATTTAGTGAAAGCATACGTGAAGACAAAAAAGGAGTTCACGTCTCACATGAATACCAAAGATAACGAGTTTTATATTATATAATTGTAAAACTGCTTTTGAGAGCTCAATACAACACTCCTATTATAAACATTATTATTGGTTCACTAAATAAATGCCCAAAAACTGACTTTAATGACAGTTTTAGATAAAAACAAGACAAACACACAAAATGTGAATTAAATGCACAAAACAAACAAAACTCTTCAGCATTTGATAGACGGATATAAAAGCAAAACACCAAACAATTTCTCTTTTCATATCACGACTTGAAGTGAGAATAAAAATAAAATAATTTAAAAGTGAAGTAAAATGAAATAAAAGCAAAAACTTAAACATAGAGTGATATGAAGTAAAAGCAATGTTTGGATGCAATTAGACTCACATTTTCTCTGTAGGCCTGCATTGTTGTGGTCTCGATATCGGACCCGGAATGGCCTAAAACGCCGGCTTTGACTGTGAGGTGGGGTTCGCTGGCGGCGAAGAACTCCAAGAGGTCGGGCATATATGAGGCCGCGTTGTGCACAATAGAGATGACATATTTGGCCACATTTGGCGCCTCTTCGCGAAAGCTCTCTTTGAGGAACTCGAGGGAGAGTTCGTTCATCTGGAGTGGCGTTAAGTGCATGATTTCGTCCCAATACAAGTGCAACACTTTGGCCATTCCGTTCGGGTAGTGCTCCACCCGATAGTACTTCCCATACTTTAGGTTCAAGAGGTCGGGCGCCGGCAGTGGGAGTCGGGGTGTCATTAGAGACAATGATATGGATGGCGGAAATGTCTGCAGCCGTGACGATAAGTACTGATCCATTTTGCACTGAATCCGAACGTTGGACACAGACTTCCGGCGACACTTCGAACACATCGAGTTCTTCAACGGTTTGGCCGAAGTGTTGGACAACTGTTTGTGTCTCGAGTCGTGGCCTTGGCTTTGGTCGACGACAACACCAGACATAGAGTGGCACTCATTGATGGCCACAGAATTGGCGCCTACTTTGTGGCCATCGGTTTGTTGTGAACTATTTATTTTACTATTCATCGGGTCTTTACTCTTGGCGTTCATGTCGTGACCATTTGTCGTCACACAACTGTCGACGCATTCAGTCTTCACAGCAACACATTTATGGCAATCATTTGATGATTGTTTCGCGGACTCAGTCTTACTGTCGGACACATCACTCGACGAATTGACTTTATTTTCACTTAAATTATTGTTTTTATCATTACTTAAGACTTTATGTCTCTTGCAATCAACGCTATTGTTATCTGATTTTTTCGCCTTATTTTCTGTCACATTATTAGTTGAATTCGTTTTCTTAATCTTCAGTAAGTCTTTTGATTCGCATTTATTAACAATTTTGTGATCATTTGAAGAGACCATCGATTGGTTGGACGACTGGTGTTGTAATGACTTGCGTTTCACGACATTATTATTATCACAATTATTGAGACAAACGTTTTGTCCATTCATTGTCTTATGTTTTCCCTTAGTATTCACACAATTGTTTGTCGTCTCCGAAGACACTGTGGACGAGACCATCGACGACGAGGTCGTGTTCGTCGTCTCATTGGGCGTCGCTTTCATTGTATTATTTTTGCATTTATTCAACGCATTCAACGTCTTATCGCTTTTCACGCCATTTGTGTCCAACCTTTTCACACATTTCTCGCCGTTTAATAACACATTGGTTTTGGGCGTCTTTGACGAGGCGTTGGTTGTCTTCGACACCATGTGTTGGTCTGTGGAGCAGCTCTTCGACGGCGCCGTAGAGTTGACACAACTCTCGCTCACACCTAACCATCGATGGAAAGGGCAGAAGAGGTGGAGAGACAGACAGTGAGACAATTGAAATGGTATTCAAAAATTAAAGTCAATAACAAAATCAATAACAAAACGATTGCAACAAAAATATTGTGTCAAAACATTACGGGAAAACTGTACTCACGTTTAATGTCATTACTAGTGTTGCAACTATTGGTGCCGTTACAGCGGGTGTCGGCCAGTGTGTGGCCACCGGTCGTGCGGCCATTGGTTTGTCCGCCAAATTGATTACAATTAATGGTTTCATTCATTTCATAATTACTTAATTTGAGATCAATATTATTGGCGCTTATATTAGACGCCATTTTTGGCCCAAACAATGTGTTGAATACCGACTTTGTATGGCTCGCTGTACCACTTGTTCGCTGTTTTCATACAGTCTTTAATACAGCGATCCCTACAAAAGAGTGATACGAATACTCCTTTGGGCTGAAAAAACGAGTCAACAAATGCTTTTGATGTTTGTGTCGACACTTTCGGCACTTTATTATATACACTATTCCTATGCATGTGTTGTGCAATACTATTACCACAAAAGGTTACGAAAGTATTTTTATCCTTATCTATTCAAACACCGTTTACTCCCGCTATATATTTTGCAAACTTTTTATAAACTTTTATAAACTAATTATTTATTTAATTTTATGATTTAATTGCAATTATAGTTAAGTTTTGCAATTAATTAATTTTGTTTGTAATGTTTACAACATATTTCTACCAAATTCAAACATGTTTTGCATTATTTCTAATTTTTCTTAAATATTTATATATTCTAAAATCTATGTAAAAATATTATTTATAATTTAATATTAATATTAAGCTGGGAATTGATAGTTTTATTAGTAACTAGTTGCATATCTAATGTAATAAATCAATTGACATGTATTGTGAAATGTTTATTGTCATTTGTTGTAAGTTTTAAAGTTTTATGAAACTTTTCAACTTGAACATTTAAATCAATTTTATTATAAAATTTTAAAAATTAATTTAACTCAAACTAAGTTTATTATGTAAATAGACAATAATGACAAAATGTTAAAGTTTTAGTATATGCATAACAATTAATATTAAACATAATTATAAACGAACAATAGTTTCATACAATAAGGCATTCAATTCAATATCTAATCGGCAATCAATGGCATTGAATGCTACGTGACTTATGTAAGGAACGCACGTTACCAGAGAGTAGACCGTATTTTGTGGGCTTTAACTACTCGTAACACAAATAACGCAATGAGTGATCGAAAGGGTCGGCGGAGAGAGTGAGTTGTGTTTGTAGTGAAAGGGGTGTTAAGGGGGACACGACTGTAGCGCACGTACACTAGTGTTACATATAATCGCATAAGCATTGGTGTGCTCTTCCAATTCAAGGTTAATCGCGTGCATTAACTTTGTGTTACAATCCATACATTACGTGTCGGTAATTAATGTTGATGTAACACTCAATGTGTATATGTTGTGCATTGTGTGAGTGGTTTCGGTGTTTGCATTCATTCATACAATGCATACAACGCTTATAGGACTCACGCGTTATGCAATGTATGAGCCATTGATTGCCGATAATCACTGCAATCGTCCCTTTAATCCCTGCAAACAAAACCATTGATTGCATTCAATGGACACTCAATTTATATGCGAAATATTACTAATATGTGCACACATTAGACATTTCACTAAATATGTCAATTAGAAAAGTATGACAAGAGTTATGGTTAGGGAGAGAGTGAGAGAGAGAGAGAGGATTGTTTGGAGACTATATAAAAGTTAGATATACAGTGCAACTCCTCCATAACGAACGGCCAAATGCACACCAAAACCGTTCGTTATAAAGAGGGTTCGCTGTCGAGGGGGTAAAATAGCACTATTTGTTATACGAGGTTCATTTATCAAGTGTTCGTTGTAGAGGGTGATTCGCTGTAGAGGGGGTTCGCTATGGAGGAGTTGCACTGTAATATGCATATGAAATGAATGGGAGAATAAGTGTTGGATTGAATTGTGATTAAAATTGTATGATTTAATGAATTGATGGTTAGATGTGTATTGAATAGTGGATTGAATGGTATATTCAATAGTTAGGCCACACCTATGGATAGCCTATCAGTGATGGCTCCGAGTGTGCGATGAGTGGGAGAGTAGAGTCCGGTTATAAGGGTTGGCAACGCTTTCCACAAAAGCAGTCAATGCATTGAAAGCCCGGGTTTTCAATGTATTATATGAGTTGTGTCTATGGATAGAGACATGCGTTGATGCCTACACTGAACGGCCATTTCCTATACGTTCTCCTCTCAGGCGCTGTGTATTGAATGCTAGAGAAGGGGAGAGAGAGTAGTGTTATATAGCCATAGACTCTGTGTTATAGCAGATCAGGCATTGGTTGAGTCGTGTTGTGCTGTAGTGTTGTGTTCAGTGCTATTGTATAGTGTATTGAGTGTATTGTCTGACTCTCTCTCATATACTTTCATAGCCGGCGTGTTCTCAATCATTACAGCGGTTCCCAACTCGCAGACACCGATTATCACTGATTTGGTCCCACTGTCACCGCATCGCCACCACTACCACAGTCTCACAGACACCGACACATCTCTCAGACACGACAGTTGTCTTCTATCCGCACTCTTTTCGCCCAAAAGAAGCGCTTAATGTAAGTGTTGAGCCATTTTCGCAATGCATTCAATTGAATACAATGTATTGATTGTACGAATGATTGTAACAAATAGTGTGTTTCGTAACCACAAACAGTCCACTCCTCGAGATGTCATCGACGACTACGACGACCACAAACTCTGGTCCGACGCCATCCAAAAAGCTGAAGACAGACGGCAATGAAGTGGACAACGGAGAGGTGAAGAATAACAATAACCGACTCGACTCGAGCTCCGGCGCCGACCCTCTGGAGGACGAGTCCCGAGACTACGATCCGGAGACCCAGAAGACGCTCGAAGAGATCGACGCCACGCAGAATGAGATCGACTCTCTCAACGAAAAGGCTTCCGAAGAGATCCTAAAAGTGGAACAAAAGTACAACAAATTGCGAAAACCATTCTTCGAGAAGAGAAACGAATTGATTGCAAAGATTCCCAACTTCTGGGTGACGGCTGTGAGTATTGACCACTCGTTTTGCCCATTCGTGGGCCATGTCTTGCTATATGTCATGCATTTGATTGTCTTTTATGTCTACCATTCAGTCAGTCATTCATTTTCAATACAAACCGCTCTATTTGTAGCCTTTGTTACACTTGAACTCATTTACACTATACTCTCAACAAATGCTTGATTTAATTAAGTTTTTATTAATTTTAGTTTAGATTTTATTATTATTTTTGAGATTTAATTTGAGGTTTGGGTTTAAATGAGAGAAAAAGTTAAATTTAGTTGATTTTAAATAATTAATTAAATGGTTGTTTATTAAATGGCTTAACTGTAAGTTGTATTCACTACTCTTTCTTTCAAAACGTTTGCCATTATTTCCTATCATTTATTAAATGCAAATAATTTTTAATCGTTTATTAAACGCAATTATAGACTCTTTTTACACAAAATAAGCACTTTTTATACGTTTAGACATTATTTAAATGATGTTTAGAGAAGTATTATGTCTTGAATTTGTGTAATTGTCGTCAATATTATGTATTCACAAAACGCCGGCAAATGCTTTACACAATAGCTTATCATTCATTTCAATGACATAGAGATGTGATAACTAATGAAAACGTGTGTTTGACTCATAGTTTGTAAATCATCCGCAAATATCCGCTATTTTGGACGAAGACGAAGAGGAATGTCTGCACTTCTTGTCGAAGTTGGAAGTGGAAGAGTTCGAAGATATAAAGTCTGGCTATAGAATCAAATTCTATTTCGACGAAAACCCATACTTTGAAAATGATCTCTTGGAGAAGGAATTCCATTTAGGGGCCGGAGGTATGACCGCCACTACTGTTCGCTTGCGTTGTCTGCTTTACTCATTGTATTGTTTGTCCAAACAGGAGATCCCGCGTCGAAGTCGACTCAAATCAAATGGAGAGAAGGCTCTGATCTGTCGAAACGACTTCAAGAGCAACAAAACGCGTACAATAAGAATGAGAACGAATCAAATGCGAAGAACTCGCGGAAGCGACAGATGGAGTTCCCGCGAACGTTCTTCACGTGGTTCACAGATCACGGCGACGCCAGCGCTGACGATATCGCTGAAGTGATTAAGGACGACATGTGGCCGAATCCGCTGCAGTACTTCCTCGTACCCGACATTGAGGTCGAGAACGGAGGCCTCGACGGAGAGGACGGCGAAGACGACTCCGATGAGGACGAGAACGACGAGTCGGTGGTTGTGGTCGAGGAGGAGGACGACGACGGGGCCGATGACGAGGAGGATGTGGACGACGAAGAGATCTATGAGGGAGAAGAGGGCGATGAGGGAGAGGCCGGTGTTGACGACGACGACGAGGATCCCGAAGGAGAGGCGGAATAAGTGGTTATCGTTTTATTGAATCATTTATTATCACAACTTATTTTAATCGCGTTTTTTGCCTCGATTTCTGTCTTTATTTTCAAATATCTCATTATTATTATTATTTTGTGACAAAAAATGCTTATTTCTGGAAAACTCGACACAAAAGCCCATAAACTCTTAATTCATATTACAATCGATTCACTCGACTATTATAATAGTTTAGGTCTTCGACTCCCAAACCCCTAATCATTATCTGATTTGTTCC